GGGGTGGCGGCCCCCACCTCTGCAAACACCGGCACCGCCTCAGCCTCCGACCCCCCGCACAGGCCCCCGACTCCCCCCGGTGCCCACCCAGGCTTAAACACCCTACTTGACCCGCAAGGCTCAGCGTTAAGCATCTGTCTCGCTCGGACTGGTGAGATTTAGGCAGATTTACGGGTCCCATTCCCAGCCCGCCCCAGGAAATCTGTTGCCCACCCTCCCGGGTGGTCCCAGCCCGGGGGAGCTGCAAACCCAGCACCCGTTTCTGCCGGGGGTGGCTCCCAGCAAAGTGCTGCAGAAACCGATTTAACTGCCCCTGCCTCCTTCCCTGTCCAGCTCCAGTGGTTTTCATTCCAACTCGGTGTTTCTGTTGAAAATAAAGCCCTGGTTCCACGCTCCCCGTAGGGGGTCAGGGCTCTTTTGGAGAGCAGCTGCTATTTGTGGGTGTGCACAAAAATCCCAAGACAAAGACCGGGACAGAAAGAAGATTCTGGTCTTGCTGTAAATTACCAAAGCCTCTTAAAAAAAGGTGCTTTTCTTGAGGAGACCTGGAAGCACGTTGTGGATTTGTACAGAAGTGCCTCCCCCGCGAGTAGACTGGGGAGATCAGGACAAGCTGGAAGCAGAAAAGCCACCTACAAGCAGGTGCCAGCACCACTGGGATTGATCCAGTGAGAAGCACTTGCCCTGTGCCTGCAGGGTGGCTTGGGGGTGTGAGCACAGCACTGTGCCCTCCAGCTGCAGCTCATCCCTCACTGCCATCCCCATCACAGCAGCTACCGGGGCACTTAAAAGAGGGAGAAGGGGCAGTGCAGGCACTTGGGAAACACACACTTCAGCCCCAAACCCAGCCAGAACCACACCCCAGACCCCTGCAGCCCCGTCCCTCCGTGGGAGACAAGCCCCCCACTCTGTCCTAGCCATACCTGGGTCATGGAATGGGACCAGTGCATAGTTGCTGATGGGCTTCGTGCTCCTGCCGAGTGTCCGCTCCAGGATGCGCGATGCCCCGTCCATCACCTGCACCAGGTCATCGTACATGGAGCCCGTGACATCAAAGACAAAGGCCAGGGTGGCCCCCCCTGTGCTGGAGGGGGACTCAGCCAGACTGGGGGCCAGCAGCAGCCAGAGACCCACAAACACCCCTCCATGGGGTGGCATCGTGGGGGAGACCCTCAGGTGCTGGGGACACCCCTTCTGTCCTCGCCCTGCTCCTTCTCCCAGACACCCTGGGTACTGTCCAGACACCGAGGAGGGACACAGGGTGTGAGGGGCCACTCGTGGTGGGGACAGAGCAGGGAGCCCAGCAGCTGTGGACCTGCTCCTCCCGTGCTCAAGTTCTGGGAGGGAAGGAGGGAAAACGGGACTTTTGGAGTCAGCTGCGTGGCAGGGAGGTGGGTGGGAGCTAAAGGAAGCCAGGATGGGGATGCAGGGGTTGGGAATCAGGTCCTGCAGCCCATAGGATTGTCAGGAACACTGCCCAGGCCTCCTCCCCGACTCTGCCCCCCCCTCCCCCACCCCCGCTCCGCAGAGCCCCCGCCCCGCCGC